TTGCTGTTAGTGTGGATAACAGAACAGCAAGGGTGGTTGGAAGGGGTGCCAATCCCCACCACTAATCACGGGTTCAGTAAGCACAACTGTACAGTTATTATATATAGATTATAATAAAGTCATCGCGAGCATGAGATAGAAGAGAGACTGAAATAACGGAGTCAGACACATTTCATAGTAGCATGCTCACCTCCTGGGTGGCCGTGATCTTAACAGCCAGGTCCACCCACAGCGTGGGCCAAGGGAAGGTGAGGCAGGGACCCGGCAGCCGGCTGGAGACCCGGCAGGAGGCTGAAGGACCCTGTTTCTTGCTAACCAAGAGTTGTAACTTCTAAGGCGGGGGAGGGGCGTGATTACAGGTAACTACATGTCACAGGAAGGGGCTGTACAAGAGGCTTAAGCGTGACAGAAAGGGGATGAGCTAGGGGTGTGCATGTGACAAGAGGGCAGACCCTAGACTCATGATGGCAGCCTAACCTTGGTCACCCTTGGGTGGGCTTGTCCTCTCTGGGGTCTCCAACAAGGCAACACTTATCAGAAGGGAGTGGGGCCTACTTGTTGTGGGATAAACAGTGGTGTCTGCTTGCTCTAAATGGCTCATAATCCTTAGGGAGGATCACCCCTGATCTACTTCTGATGACCTCTCAGTGTATAGTCACTCGCAAGCAGCTAAGTTTGGCATCTCTTTGGGGGAGACAACTTGGGAGAAATCCTTCTGTTTCCCACAGGGAACAGAGCAACAAAGTCCCCTGGGGAATACCAAAAGTAGACTTTGGGGCCAGGGCTTGGCACCCCATCAGACTCGACCTCAAAACACTCCTAAAGGGCAACAATAAATCCTTGAACTAACTACAGGCTTTTCTTTTTTGTTGTTATTCCCATTTTTTTGGTCATTAGCTTTTTTGTTCTTGTCGGTTTTGTTTTCTTTTGTTGCTTTGTTTTGCTGTCTTCTTTTTGTGCATGTTATTATCTCCACAGGTCTGTCTAAATAAAATAGGCTGGATGAACAATCTGTGGAGAAAACAGGACAGACTGTTCTGTGGGACATGGGAGAGGGGGATGTGAGGGGTAAGGAAGTGGTGTTAACAGATCCAGGGACAAGGGAACAACAAGTGATCCAAATCAGTGGTGAGGAGGGTGTAGGAAGCCTGGTAGGGCATGATCAAGAGTAATGTAACAGAGGAATTACTGAACCCAAAAGAAGGTTGAGCATGATAGTGGGAGAAGAGGAAAGTAAAAGGAAATAAAGGAAAGAACGAGGAGGCAAATAGGCATTTATAGAGGTCTAAGGCATGTACCTATGTAAATATATTTATATATGAGGATGGGGAAATAGATGTGTGCATATAGTTATAGGTTCAGTATTAAGGTAGCAGATGGACATTAGGCCTCCACTCAAGTACTCCCTCAATGCAAGAATACTTTGTTCTATTAAACTGGCATTCCATGATGATCACCTTCCTGGCACAAGTGCTGAAGACAAAGCAGGTTCATAAGCAACTGGCAAAGAAAGCTGATGTTGCCCGGCTATCAAAAGATATAGTCTAGGGTCTTAAAGACTTGAAGGTAAACAGGCGGCCATCTAGCTCAGAAGCAACAAAGCCCACATGGAAGAAGCACACTAGCCTGTGTGATCAGGAGGTGTCGAAAGGATCAAGTATCAGGCATCAGAGATAAAAAAATCAAATCATTGTGAATGAAGGGGTGTGAAGATTGGGGACCCAAGACCCATCTGTAGGTAACTCCTTGCAGAAGGGTCACGGGGAGGAGAAAAGCCAGTTAGGGTGCAGTGTAGCAACGATGCAACACACAACTTTCCTCTAGTTCCTAAATGTTCCCCCGCACTCCTACTATCATGATCCCAATTCTACCTTACAAATCTGGCTAGACCAGAGGATGGACACTGGTACAGATAGGAACTGGAAACAGGGAATCCAGGACAGATGATCCCTTCAGGACCAGTGCTGAGAGGTGGCAATACCAGGAAGGTGGAGGGAGGGTGGAATGGAAAGGGGGAACCGATTACAAGGATCTACATATAACCTCCTCCCTGGGGGATGGACAACAGAAAAGTGGGTGAAGTGAGTAGGTAAGATATGACAAAATAATAATTTATAAATTATCAAGGGTTCATGAGGGAAGAGGGAGCAGAGAGGAAGGGGGAAAAAACAAGGAGCTGACACCAAGGCCTCAAGCAGAAAGCAAATGTTTTAAGAATGATGATGGCAGCACATGTACAAATGTGCTTGACACATTGGATGGATGGATGGATTGTGGTAAGAGTGGTATGAGCCCCCAATTAAAAAAAAGAAATTGCTGGTGATAGTATTTCAGAGGCTATTATTTGCACTAAGGCTCGAACCTTGCCTGCTGATCTTAAGAAAAACAAACCTTGGTCAAGTCGTGGTCCCGAGCATGAGTTTTTGGCTGGTAGGGGCTGGTTTGCTAGGTTTAAGAAAAGAAGTGGCATTCATAGTGTTGCATGGCCTGGGGAGACAGGAAGTGCTGATAAAAAAGCTGCAGAAAACACTGTGAAGGAATTTCAGCAATTCATTGATGAAAATGGCTTTATGCCACATCAAATCTCTGTGATGAGATAGGGCTCTTTTGGAAGAAAATGCCAAAGACGACCTATATTACAAAAGAGGGGAAAAAATTGCCAGGCTACAAACCAACAGGCTCATTTTGCTGTTGTGTGCAAATGCTAGTGCTGATTTGAAAATAAAGCCTCTGTCAGCCTATCACTCTGAAAATCCTAGTTTTTAAGAAACAAAGTTGTGAGAGCGACTTAAATGTGAGGTATAAATCAAATGCTAAACTAGGGTAACAAGGCAAATTTGGGGGTGGGTTTGTGAAGTTTTTGCCCCCACGGTAAAAAAATACCTTGAGGAAAACAATTTGCCACTCACGGAAGTTCTGCCCATCCCCCAGACAAGGAATATGGGTTAGCAGACGAATTTAGCTAGCCAAAAATAAAATTTTTGCCACGCAGAACCACCTCACTGATACAGCACATGGACCAGCAGGTTATTTCTAATTTCAAGAAACTATACACTAAGGCATTGCTCCACAGGTGTTTTGAAGTGACCAGTGATACTAGCCTTACTTTGGCTGTATTCTGGGGAAGAATATTTCCATATTTTGAGCTGTGTTAGGGCTCATAAACAAAGCATGGGCAGATGTTTCCAAGAGGACTCTTAGAGGCCTGATGGGGTTCCTCTTAGGGACTTTGAAGCTACAAGTTGACCCTGAAGCTGAGCCCCTTCCTCTGCCTGACCCAGATGTGGAAGAAATTGTTTCTGTGACCAAGTCCATGGCCTGGAGGTCAGTGCCGATGAGGTTGAGGAGCTGATTAAAGAGCACAGCACTGAACTCACCACAGAGGAACTCCAGGAACTTCAAGAGGAACAGCAGAAGATTTTGGCTGAGGAGCTGATTGGAGAGGAGGAAATCAAGAGTGAGTCAGCTTCTTCAGAAATCAAAGAAATGCTGCTTCATTGGGAGAAAGTCCAAGAGTTCTTTTTAAAAGAATCATCATGACAAGAAACTGAATAACTGTGTTATCAATATTGTCGATGATAATTTCGTAAACCCTTTTAGAAAACAGTTAAGGAAATACCAACAGCAGACCTCATTAGACAATTTTTTTTTTTTTAAAGAGAAAGCCAACCTGGTCCTAGTGAAAAAAGGCAAAGAAGGGAAAAAACTCCTGAAAAGCAGCTACCAGTTGATTTTAATGGAAGGGAATTCCTCTTCCAAACAATGACTCTCCACACCTCCTCCCCACATCCATGTCCACAGATCCAGATCCTCATCAATCTCAAGGTATGGGTCATACTGTATATGTTAAAAACTTTAAAAATGTTTCTTATGCATTATTAAACTCTGAACTTCTTTACTTTGAAATTTAATTTGTAGTGTTTTGTACAAAAAGGCAAGGTTAGGGTGAAAACTTGGGTCTAGAACACATTAATCCGCTTCTAGTTATTTCTTATGGGAAAAAGTGATTTGGAACTCAACTGCATTGCATCTCAATGCTCCTTCTAGAACGGATTACTGTTGAGGTCCAGGGTTCTACTGTAGCAGCCCGGGTAGTGCAATGTTAACGCATTCAACTGTTAACTGAAAGATTAAAGCTGCCCCTTGGGAGAAAGATGTGGCAATCTGTTTCCTAGAGAAGTCAGGCAGTTCTGTACTGTCCTACAGGGTTGCTAAGCTGGTATCACTCAAAGACAATAAATGTAGGCTTTGGAGAAAAGTGCCTATTTAAAATTGTAATCACACAAAGCACTCCTAAATAACAATCTTTTTGTTGTTGTTTATACAAATCAGGGATGGTACAAAAGGCAAGTACACTGGGCTGCAGAGAGCGTGATGGCTCAAGTCCACCCAGAGGTGCCTTAGAAGGAAAGCCTGGCATTCTACTTTTGAAAAATCTGACATAGGATAACCATGAGTACAATATATGAAAATAATTACTAAAAGTATGAAAGGAAGCCAAATTCAGATTTGAATTTTACCTCTGGTACTTGCTATATGATGTTAGTGAGCTTAGCTAAACTCCCTGAAACTCAATTTCTTTATCTACAAAGTCATAATGATCATCTTATATTGTAATAATTCAAAGGATGTAAAATTAAAATGGTCAATATTAAAGGTAAGTACAAAATGTCTAAAACAAACTAAAGTTTATTAAAAATTAACTTAAACACAAACATAATTGGTTTTCCAAAGGTTTTTAATTAGAAAGCACAATTCGCTCAAAATTCAAATTCGCTGGGTCAATCCATTTGCAAAGCATCCATTAAGTATATCCCAGAAGACAATATTTATTCTTGGGTATTGAACTACGTAAGTTTGAACAAGAAAACTGGAAAGGGTGGTCTTCCTGGTGGTATGAACAACCCCAAACCAAACCATCACCATCAAGTTGATTTTGACTCATAGTGATCCCATATATCAGGTTTCCAAAGTTGTAAATCTTTACAGTAGCACTTCATCTTGCTCCTGAAGAGTGGCTGTTGGTTTTGAATCACTGACTTTAGCAGTCCAATGCTCACTGACAGCATCAACAGGGGGTTTTGATATGAACAAAGCTGCTTATCAATAAATTCTTACCACATGGGAAAAAACTTGAACGATAAATATCCACCCAAAAAAATATCCACCCAAACACACTGTCACAGTTTCCTTAAATAATGTGCTTCCTTAGCACATACAGAAATCACTTTTGACAGCTCCTATTTTTTAATCTTCACAGCACAATAAAAATAGCAAGAAATGTGAATCAGAGGTCCTGAGTGTACAATGTGAGCTCCCTACTTGTTGCTAGCTGCCGTTGAGTTGGCCTCCAGTTCATGTTGACCCCATACAGAACAAAACACTGCCTGGTGCTGCCCCATTCCCCTTATCAGTTGCAGATTGGACTTTGTGATCCACAGAGTGTGCATGGGCTGATTTTCAGAAGTGGATTTCCAGGCCTTTCCTCCTAGTCCATCTTAAGTCTGGCAGCTCCGCTGAAACCCCTTCAGCAGCATAGCAGCACGTAAGCCTCCACTGACAGGTGGTAGCTGAGCAGAAAGAATGGCCAGAATCAAGCGCAGGTCTCCTGGAATACCAATAACGTCTACTTAAGGACTCAGACCCCCTCTGGGTCTATTACCTTAGCAAAAGATGGGAATAAGGATGCTGATTACCTGGTGGTCTCCTGTAAGGATCAATAGAGAAGATGTAATAAAAGGTGATATAATAATAAGATATAAATAAAAGTGCTTTATGTTTTCATGTTCTTTTAAAAGATTCTTATCTTAATAAAAAGACTTTGATGAAGACATATACTTAATTTGTTACAGTGAAGTTATAACTTTCCAACATAAATACTGAACTCTGAATATAAGTACCTTGTCAAGCACGAAACAAAGATCATATTCAAAGAGTTACGAAAATTACATGAGGGTGTGAATTGCCATTTCAGTCTTATCTGACTGGTATTATGACTGGCTGCTCCTCTCACATGCTAGCTCCATGGTTTGCAGGAAATCCCAGCTCCAGGGAGATCAGGATTGTTAGCCCTCACTTCCTACCCTCCCTCACTCTAACAGCGCTCCCAAGAAACTTCTGGTGAAAATAAAATAACTTCTCAAAAGGAATGGTAAGAAAGGCCTGCTTTAGCCTCTTTCATTACTGTAAAGAAGCAACATCTTGGCCAACTAAAAATATTTACAGACTTCTAAGTCTGACTTGATATCTGCAGGAATGTAGTTTACGAAGCTTCACATGGAACTGAGGTCAAAAGTCTCTGGTGTGTGTGTTTTTCCATGAGAAGAAAATGTACTCATCTTATTTGTGCAGAATCTAGGGAAGGAATGCTACACGACTCAAGAAGGAATCCCTATCTTCCACAGGAAGATAGACAGTTGATCATTTAAGATCCCTCCCAATTCTGGGAACCCTGGAGGCATAGTGGATTGATTATGCCTGGGCTGCTAACCTCAAGGTCACCTATGGGAAACTACCAGCCGTCTCCTCAGGAGAAAGATGAGACTTTCTACTCCCATAAAGCATTACAGTCTCAGAAACTCACAAGGACAGTTCTACCCTGTCTTGTATGGGTCACTATGAGTTGGGATCAAGTGGACAGCAATGAGTTTGGACCCAATTCTAACTTTCTGTGAATTTAAGTCTGGAGGTTTATTTATTTTTCAACAGAACAGAACACAGGGATACATATACCTAACAAAAGCAAAACTATGATACTATGAAAAACTTATACACACCCCAAAAAAAGGCAAGTCATCTGGTTAATTTCTTTACTAAGATGGTATTTTTTAAATAATGAATGTAGTAATATAATCACCAAATTGTTCACCAAAGTTGAACTGTTTAAATTTGAGATAATAAAAGCACTATATAGAATAAATAAGTCAAAAAGCAATTTAGTCAGCATACTTCAATATGTGTCAACATGCTAGCCCACCATCCTAAAATGGAGTATTACCAATTATCTTGAAGGGTGCAGTTCTGAATCTCTTAACAGCATAAGTCCTCAATAAAACTCAAAACTAAAAATAATAACTAAGACCTCCGTTCTGTTCATAAATAATAATTTCTGAAGAACTCTATTTTAAGAGGAACTAAGACTTCCTTGGCCATGCTTATAAAACAAATGCCAAATATTTAATAGTTAACTTCAAAGAGAAGACATTATTTATTTATAAAAGAGATGATTTTCTTTTACTTTAATGTTTACTCAAAAAGTTAAGACACTTTTACAGACTTGATCCCAAAGTAAGAGTTTATTTTGCTGAAACAAGCTGAAGAGAATACGAGAAAACCTAAATAGCTGAATTTAATTCCTTTGGTCTTTGGTTGGTTGGTTGGTTTTAAGTGACCCCTCCTGGCGGAGTCTATAGAGATGAACTTCTTAAAAAGACCATTTTATGGCATTATTCATTTGTTACATAGTACACTATGAAATTCCAAATAGTATTGTGCTATTTGATGGTTGTGAAGTTCTAATTATATTGCAATGCAAGGTTTTCTACTTCCAAGTCTTGCTAGCTCAGAAGAAAAAGCCATATTACTCTGACAGGTCACTGAGATTTATAATTTCCCTCTTCTAGAAAATCCATTCCTTCAATGAACAAACATTTATGTTACACATACATATATTTATGTAAGACACCCCCCCAAAACAAATGAAACTCACTGCCATTGAGTTGATGCTGACTCTACCCTAGAGGACAGAACTGCCCCTGGGTGTTTCCAAGACTGTAACTGGAGAAGTTAGTGATTTCAAACTGCTGATTTTGCAGTTAGCAGTCTAATGAGTAATCAATCCCCCACCAAGGCTCATCCACCCATCCATCCATCCATCCATCCATCCATCCATCCATCCATCCATCCAATTACTACCTGTAGCCTTCAAGTCAATTCCACTTCTAGCAACCCTACAGGATAGAGCAGCGCTATCCCTTATTTCCAAAGCTGTAATTTTCATGAAAGTAGACTGTTCCATTTTTCTCCCATAGGACAGCAGGTAGGTTTAAATCATTTACCGTATAAATAGCAGGGAAATGCTTAGCCAATGTGTCACCTTCAGACTCTGGGAACCGTCCCTTTCTCTCTGCCTTCACTGTCCTCCTGGCAAGCCATTCAGACTCATGCAGTCACGTGCAATGATGCAAAGTGCAGGAAGATCACAAATGGGTGGGTGCAAAGTCTTATGGATCCAGTGGTGTGTGGAAGCATCATTCTGGGACATGCCCACTAGGAGACACCATCAGGCTGTGACCTGATTGACAGATTGAATATCACCCCTACTCTTTCATATATCTGCACGTCGACATAAAACTATGTACTACCACATGAGGCAACTGAAAATACCATGGCTTGGGTCCGGTGCAGATTTACCCAATGAAATGAGTCATTGGCTCTCTTGACTGATGCTTCCATGCACATTGACTGTTGGTCCAAGTAAGATGAAATCCTTGAGATAAATGATGCTATCTATTGGTTCAGTTGTGAGGATTTGAATCTTTAGTACACTGAGTTGTAATCCATGAACAAGGCAATCCTTGTTCTTCAACATCAAGTAGTCCCAGACCTCCTCACTTTCAGCAAGTGAGATTGTGCCATCTCCATGTATCTTCATTCAGAAGGTTTGAGGGATTTTCACCATGGACTTATGAATAAAGTAATTATTCTAGTCAAAGCTGATTACAATCACCATGAAGAACAGAAATATAATCTGTATGTGTATATTTTGCCTCTGCTCTTCAAGTAGTAATATTTATTTCTCTTACATACTCACTTCATGTAACAAAAAAAAAGAAGTCCAAGAAACATAAAGTGCTTTCAAATAAGGCTTCTATCCATTCTCATTAATAAGAATTTATAGCTACATCGCACCCTGACTGGCTCATCTCCTCCCCGAGACCCCTCTGCAAGGGGATCTCCAGTGGCCTACAAATGGGCTTTGGGTCTCCACTCGGCACTCCCCCATCTGTGGTAAGATTTTTTGTTCTGATGATGCCTGATACCTGATCCCTTCAACACCTTGTGATCGCACAGGCTGGTATGCTTCTTCCATGTGGGCTTTGTTGCTTCTGAGCTAGATGGCCGCTTGTTTACCTTCAAGCATTTAAGACCCCAGATGCTCTATCTTTTGATAGCCGGACACATCCCACCCTAATCCTGTAACAGAGACATGGAGTTGATTACAACTCACAGACAGCCTATAGGGCAGAGTAGAACTGTCCCTATAGGTTTTTAAGACTATAAACTTTTACAGGAGTTGAAAGCCTCATCCTTTTCCCCTGGAGCAGCTGGTGGTTTAGAACTGCTGACCTTGCCTAGTGCATAACCCACAACCTCAACAGAGTTCCTCTGTAACTGAAAATTCCCTCCAAAATGGAAGTAGATTCTTCAAGACCCACCCTGAGCCTGTAACAGAAAACACACTCCAAAATGATTTATAACCCCAGGGATAGAATCCCAAATTATAGTACAGCACATAAGGAATTATGGCTAGAAGAACCATATTAATTGACTCCATCACAACATCATCACCTTATAATTCATAATTCTGAATTTATAAAAAGCATAGAACTATATCAAGTTTACTAATAACTAAATACAGCTTACTGACAAAATAATAACAGTTACAAACTGAAGTCCCTTGAAAAGGGTAAGAATGACAAATACTGTGATCCAGTGAGTTATATGATAGGACTCTTCTAGCTATATATCGTCTTCATAATTCCTTCCAAAAGACTGGGTACCAAAACCCACTACCATCAAGTGGATTCCACTCCACAGGACCCTCCAGGACAGAGCAGATAGACTCCTCCAACTTCCCCTGAGTTGCTGGTGGATTGAAACTGACCTTGAAATGCAAACGTGTAACCCAGTATGGCAACAGGGTGTTTGTGGGCCACCAAAGGGATTGAACGGTTTACTAATAATGTAAATAGGGTGTATGGCACCCATGTGGGATGGGGCCACACAAGCAGGATATACTGGGTATTGATCAGTTTTGACATCACACTAGGTTTAAAATGAGGCATCTCAGAAGTACCATGGCCTGCTAAAAAGTCAAATAAATCTGTCTTGGAAGAAGTACAGCCAGAGGCAAGGATGGTAAGACTTTGTCTCAGATAAGGGAAGCCTGTCCCTGGAGGTGGGCATCACGTTTGGTAAAGAAGAGGGACAGTGCAAAGGAGGAAGGCCCTCAACGGAACGAATTGACACCGTGGCTGAAACAACTAGGAGATGGTCCAGGACCGACCGGGCAGTGCTGCATTCTGTTGGGTATCGGGTCACTAGGGGTCAGAAGTGACTCAGCAGCACCTCACAGCCACAGGAGCAGAAAGGGGGGGTCTCTGCCAAAAGAGAAAAGCAGAGTGAAGCACACCCTTCAGACAGAAAACCTGCTGTGCCAAATGGCCTCAGACCAAGAGCCTGCAACATCAGAACAGCAAGGCTCCCCACTCATAAAGCTGAGTGTCTTTGCCAGGAGGCTAACTCATAAAGTGGGCTACCTCCAGGCAAGGGGTGGGGTGGGAAATGACATCAACAGACTTGTTACCATGTAGAGTGCTTTGGAAAGTGGATTACTGCAGATGCAGTTAGAGTAAAAGTAAACATTTGATGAGTTTATCTCCTTTTGACCCATCCTAACTTTGTCCTAGTTTTTAATATTTTTTG